CAATGAAAGGATCTGAGATATGAATGTGAGAGAGATTTCAGAGGATGCCAGAGCTGGAAAATGTGGTGAGTGGAAGGAATAGAAGCCTCCAGAATACCCCCAAGACAAATGTGATCAATATGGGGTTTTTCCTCCCTTGGGGGTAGTTGCTCGAGCCATTCTCCTTTACTATTAAGGAAAATGACAACCAATCAGATCAAAGACTTGGGAGCTCACAGGGGGCTGCCGGCTGGGCTTCCACTCATCGGGCTTTTAGAGTTTGTTCCTAAAGGTGGAAGGAGATCAGATGAGACATACACCCGCTTCCTGGGAGGCAAAAGTCAGGAGGTGAGGATTAGTGAGGCCAAGTGCATGCAGGTTTAGAAAAGGGCACAACTGCTACAAATGGGGGCCAGTGGACAAGGTTATTTGAGTATGCTGATATTTAATCTAAATCCTGACCACTGAGTGATTTGTGTGTGTAGAATTGTGGAGTAAAGGCAATCCAGGGAAACGTATTGGTGTGAACCCAAGTCCGTATGCCCAAGGTCCCTACACTAAAAAAAAAATTCTGTCAACTTTATGTAATAAGTTTGACTAGGACCCTCACTTGATGAGGTTCTAAATGACCATGAAGACAAATTGCTGTGATATATGAAGATTTATTACAATGAATTTTAGTGCCAAAGAGATGGTAAAGTTGATACACTGAAGTGATTCATATTGGATTAAAGGCAGCAAGGCACATTTTTCCTCCCTTTTCTGGGAAGAATTACACTGATGACTCCTGAATCTTCTTCTCCTTGTCTCTCTGAAGCTTCAGTATTTCAATCTCCAGGGAGAGTTTATACACCTCCAGGGCCAATTTCACCTCCTCTGGATTTGGGAGGCACTGCATGAGTTTCCTAGCTACAAGTACCTGCTCACAGCCTTCAGGGTACACCTATGGGAGAAACAGATGATGAGGTGCTTAAAAGGCTTCTCTCCTAATCGTGAAGGGGGCGGAGGATTCATGCTGACAAAGGCAGGACTACAGGATCAGGACCAAGACCCACCGCATGACTGGTGGGTGAGCAGTAAAACCAGAAAACATCGTGGGCCCCACCATCATCTTCCTCAGAGAGACACAGCTCTGCTCTGAGACAGAGTCCCAGAAAGCCTCTGTGGGGACAGAGGCAATTTCTGCTGACCATCCAGAAATGGAACAACAGTGTATCATATAGTCTAGGAAAGTAAAGTTAGGAGTCAGTACCCCAGGTCTCTGAGACCCTCCACTCCCAGGGGGCTCCGTTTTCCCTGTTGTCAAGTGAGAGCAGACTTGCCACTCTTCTCTGACCAGAGGGCTTCAAGGCAAAATTGAGAGTTCCTTTGAAAGACTCAGAAATGAATTCTGGCAAGCAGGACGTGCTCTGGGGGAGGCACCCTTTTTAGGGTTTGATAGCTCAGAAACCTCCTTGAATTGTACCACTTACCCACTCACATTTGGGCACCTCCGGGTACCAGGTTCTGTTCTCTGAGCAAGTGATACTTTCGGAACCAACCAAACCATAGCCGGGGTCACACTGGACCTTGACACTTTCAGGCTCAGTATATCGATTCTTATCCACAGATAACATTCCATGTTCTATCTCTGGTTTCCAACACAGAGCTAGAAAGGAAACATAATTTAAAGCAATCTGCAAATCTAAGAAAAAAGGATATGAGAGACTAAGGTATTAAGAATAAACTATACTTAAGTGCTGCTGATTGCTTTGCCTTCTCTTTTGAGAATAAAAATAATATACATTATTCCACGTTTCCATGAAAATTTTGCTACAGATCACAGTTACACTCAGATAAAATGGACCACTTCTAGAATATTTCTGGAAATATATAGGACACTAGGAATAGGGGCTGCCTCAAAGAGGCTGAATTTTGCACCTGGGAGACAAAAAGTAGGGAAGATTAATGTTTCTGTGTGCCCTCCGAACTTTTTGTTTCAGGTACCATCTGAATATAGTAAATATTTTAAATAAATCAAGTCAAGTCAAATGTTTCTTTTCCCATCGCTGGCAGGTAGAAACTGTGCTCTGAACCCTTTCATGAAGTTCCCCCTACTTAGCTGTGCACTGCAGAGGGAGCTGGAGTTACCTTTACATTGAGGGACTGCAGGGGACCAGACTGCAGCATGGCAGGTGAGTTTGTTCGCTCCAACCAGAGTGTACCCTTCATCACATTCATACACAACATCATCTTTGAAGAAGTATGCACTGATTAATTTATAGTGTCCGTGGGCAATGACAGGAGGAGAATCACAACCTTGAGGTGAGACATAAAAGTGAGAGAGCGTGAGGGTGTAGAATGCATGTAGTAACACTCCCCAGAATCTGTGTGGCTCACACGAGGCTCCCTTCTGTCCCCCTGTCTTCTCTGCCCACAGGATCCCTGAGCCAAACCCAAGACCTGTGCTGCCCTCCTGTAGCCCTGAAGCTGTGGAACCGTAGAAATGCCAACGAAAGACAAGCACTTAGGATTTGCTTCATTTTATCTACAAGTTCACTAAACTGCACTGTTCAGGAGCCATTTGGGCTGAAGTCCCAGGGTACTAGTGGTCCACTGCACTGATTTCAGGCTAAATGCAGACAGGTACATCTGGGAGAAATTGCAAGGATGCAAAATAAATCCAGTCTCTGACTCATTGCTCTCAATCAAATCTGTCCATCCATCCCTCCAAAAATATACTTACTGCATTTTAAAATATTTTTTAAAAGAGCTGATAGAATGATTAAAAATGATGACTTGCATGTTGAAATAATAGACTTGACACAGTGCGGAGCATCTCTCTGAAAGGGAACACTGACAGGATCCACAAACGGTGCATGAGAAATTTAAATAAATTAATTTAATTCAATTCGCAGGAATGTCACGGAAAATAGTATCCTGATGGGCTATAATACCTCTAAGGACTATCCTAAGATGCCTCCTAGAGGCAGGGCAAACTGATGCCCACAGTAAGTGAGATTCAAACGCTGGAGTTGCCATGGCAAGTGGTAGAAGAAGGGGTTAAATGACTCAGAAAAGTGAGCTCTGGAGTGGAAAAGCCATACACATGTTAGAAACCCCACCAGATGATTCTGTTACCTGGGAAGGCCTGAGGATACATTAACAAGGTCATAAGGAATTTCCCAATGAAAGGAGCACATATATCAAAGGCCAGGGCTGATGACAGGAAGGCCATTAAAGAACAACTTTCACATTTAGCAGTAGTAGTCTGAGAGGTGCTAATACTCTTTAAAGGTAAGTAATATAATCATCATGATGAGTGGCAAGTTAGAGAGACAGTTAGAGGTGCCTGAGAGTTATGGAGGTGGTTCATGGAACGGGACACTCATCAGGGTAAAGAGATAACCACCCCATCTGTACCATCAAAAGAAACTGAGGGTGGATGATCAGGAGACTGATGGCATTTGGTCCAATAAGAAGTTACAATCCCTTGCTCAGTGCCTGGACCTGTGCCAGTCATCAGGTCTGGAGATCACTGACTGAAGAAAAAGACAGTTTCCAGGAGTAGATGCTACAGCACCTTGGGAAGTACGCTCAGTACTGAGTGCCGCAGTCCCAGAGGACCTATGTCCATTTATTGAGGTAACTGTGCAGCAGTGAAAGCCACACAGTAATGCAAGTA